GAATTTTTGAGAAAACGAAAAAAAAAATAAACGAAAGATACGCAAAAAAAACGCACTTATTACATCGAACGAAAAAAAATAAACATATTACTGACTGTTAGCGTAAAGTGAAAAAGCTCGATTTATCTAAACTAAATTGAAGTGCATGCGAGTCTCAGCGACTAAACCTTGAAAACAGCTCATGATTCATCCATGCAAGTTAGTTAACAAAGAAAAGATTCAACTATACAACAAAGTTTAAAACCAGATCCATTTCTTTACATAAAGCTCTTAAAAGGTGCAAATCGAGATTTCCATCCTCCCGTTACTTTTACTTCTTCGTTTGCTTATATCAACCAAAAAATATATTAATGGAATTACCAGTAATATTTAAAATAAGAAATAGCGCTTAAACACAGATGTGAGCCAGTCGTTGAAAAAGAAGATATGTTCTGGAAAAAGTCATTTCAAGAAGAATTGCACCTATATAAGTAAATTAGGTCTTAATATGCACTAATAAATAGCAAATGAGATTGGTTCTGATGTGAAAGAAATCTACTTGCTTAGCAAGTCTCCAAATCACTGGGTATAAGATCAAAATACGTTTAAGTACAGACATAAAATAACTACATACAGAAGAACTGCTTACAAGAATTCCAGAGATTTAAACAGAAGTCGCAGCTGATCTCTCTTCAGCAGTTGCTGTACGCTTCCTCTTTGCCGGAGCTACAGCATCAGCAAGAAGCTCATCAAAACGAGCAGCCTTTTGTCTGGCTTCCTCAAATTTCCTTCTACTCTCCTCAGTTTTCCGTTGTAATTCTGCTTAATCAATGTAGACCGTTAGGCATTTCAATTGAAAATAACCAATATGAGGAAAAAACATATTAAAATTTCAATCATAATCTACCTTTGAAGTCAAAGTTATAAAAAAAAGTAGCGCTATTCTCAGCAGTTTATACTGAAAAAATTAATATCTTGCCTTGTAACTCAGAACTGAGAAAATTTGTTTCAATCGCACACTGCAACTTTTCGGCCTGAATACGATTCCCAATGGTATCCTCCAGATCAAGAGCTCGAGCAATTTTCGTGAGTCGCTCAGCAATTGTAAACCCTAAAATACGGCAGCTGTCCTAATCACTGTTGAAGGACTAAAACTAGTAATGAATCGACGAGTTATCTTTGCAAGGAAATCAGTAACAATCCGTTGCATCTGCTCGAAACAAAAAAACATAACACATAAAAATAGCAAATAAGATACCTAAATCCCGCTGCGAAGGATTTACATTAATTAGCCGCCTAGTTTGCTCCACTGAGCTGGAAATCATTTCCAAAATATCATCTAATATTCCCAGTTCATTCATAAGTGACCAAAACTTCACGGGATCTGAAAGAGGAAAATGTTCCACAAAGCTCAGTATTCGGATTAACTATCTTTAACACCCAAGAAGAAACTCACTATTTTGCATGGCTTTTGATACACTTGTAGTTGATATACAGCCCTGATCTGAATTATCTTCGACTTTGATCTGTTTCTCAGTAGACCTCATGTTCGCGTTCAGGAATGAGGAAAGTATCATTGGGTCCTTAGCCATGAGGCCTAGAAAGAAATATCCTGATTAAAAACTTCGCTATAAACAGCTATTTCGTTACAGACTGGTAATGAGAAGCAAAAACAAACTCAGTGATGCCAACGCCGACGGAGAGCTTACGGTCTGTGCGACTAGCTGTTGTAGCGCAGTCGAAACAACAGTAGGACTAAAATGAACCAGCATAAAATTGTAACATTAATAGTCACGGAAAATTAGAGAAAGACTAGAAGAAACCTGCAATTGACCGTGTCCCGAACATCAAAGCCATTCGAAGTTGATGCCCCATGATATGCCTCCTGGTTCATCGCTAGGTCAGCAGCAAAACTTTTTGATGTGATGTAATTTCTACTTTGACACTTTGCACTACAGTACGCATCATGGTTATAAAAATCCAGCGTTTTCATTTCCATAAGAGCTCTGAAATATATTCAAGATATAAAAAAGTACATATAATATGCGAAGGTAGTCCTGCAAGCTCATAATAAAAGGATAAAAAATTGTTTAACGCGATTATATAATGATTAAAATTACACACTGAAACGCCTGAAATACAACAATTTTTGAAACTAGAAAGTCGAATAACAACTGTCAGTGAGAAATAACCTCATGTTAGACTTTCCGATCCTAATACTTCCCTTCCAGTCCTTCTGCTTATCTTTGTTTGCTCTAACTGTAAATTCCTTCGGACTGATTAACTCACCTGTAATAAAATCTATTACAGTGTTACAAACAGATGTTGGAATATTGAACAACCAAACAAAGCCCTATGGGTAATATCAGCTTATCAATTGATAACGAAATTGTAACCATTAAGCTCAATACACTGCTGGTGTATCCCTGGACACACAAATTTATCCATATGAAGACGAGCCACCAATTGTCCGCATTTCACCTAAAAAAAAAAAGCTTATAAAACAAATAAAGAACCAAAAAAAAAAAGATATTATTAAACTGCAAATGTTCTACAAGTGACGGTTTCAAAAAAAAAATAAAAGTTTGAAAGTCAAAAAACAACATTCCAACACAATGATCATATTCTTTACCTTGATGAACATTCCCTACTATATTTTAAGATACTAGGTTACTGTCTTCAAAATGTCAAAAGTATCATACTAAAAATTGAATTCATTTAAAGAGAACAACCACAAAGAACGTAGGAAAAGAATTTAAAAGTACATCTTTTCAACTAACAGTTTACACAAATTCCTTCATCCCTTTCAGGCTCACTTCCGAAATAAATAAAATGACTAAAAACAATAATGATAGTATAAAGCCTCTTGTTTGGAAAGCACCATTTGCACAAACCCAATTTCTAGCTGTTCTTTTTTAAACCTGATTAAACAAAGACATCAAAATAAAAAGTGCACACTTCGTAAATGCAGCGCCTTAAACAAGCCAAAAAATTAGACAACATCCGTATACGAAAAACTTTAAAACTCTCATCCCTCAATATAGTGAATGTGTTAGGCTGCTTGAGTTCTATCTAAATGTAATTGAACTTATGTAACGAATAATGCTTGAGAATATGGAGAACCTATTTTTCAGCAACAAAATTTCCGCGCTTCATTTTGCTAAACATAGTAAGAAATGAAAGAAATAAGCTTATCACTACAATACACTTTTGAAGTACCGATTTAAAAGAAAAAAACTGACACGAATTGCTTTCCAGTCTTGGAACAGCCAAAAAAATTCACTACCTATGTCCACGTGAAGCTAACC